ATATATTGTTGATTAGTGTTTTCTGCATGTTTTGATGGAAAATTTGGTGATCTTGGTGCTTGAGAACCTGCTGTTAGGGTTTCTGAATTTTTTGGAGCTTTCTTATATGCCGAAATCGTTTTGGGGAAATGTGTAATTCTATTAAGAATTGATATTTAGTTCATTAAATCATTGCCTTTTAAGGTTCATTACTCTACTTTCATGTATGTAAATATGCTTATGTCTAATTTTTCAATATTTCTTTTGTGCGACTATTTAAGAAACACAAATACGGATACGGAATAAGCAAGGTTATTTGGACAGTCATCATGATGTCTCACGGTGTATGCTGTTTGTGTGTTAGTAGATGAATCTCAAAGTGGGCTTACCAATAAGCTAAAAATTTGGAGAAAGACACTCGAGTTAAAAGGGTTTAAAATAAGTGAGAATAAGACTGAATACATGTAATGCAATTTTAGTAATTGAAGAAATAGAAATAGTGAAAAATTTAAGATTGAAAATTAAGAAATATCAACGAATAAACGATATAGATATTTAGGATTGATCATTAAAAATGATGGAGTGATTGGAGACGATATAACTCAGTTGGTTTAAGTGGAGGAAATCTTTTGGCATATTATGTGATAGAAGAATACCAATAAAATTGAAAGACAAATTTTACCGAATAACTATATGGACAACAATGTTATATTTGATGGAATGTTGGGTAATTAGGAAACAAAATAGTGATAAAATGAATGTACTAAAATGTTGAGTAACTAGGAAATAAAATAGTGATAAATGGTAGATGTGTGGAAAAACTAGAAAAGATAGAATACGAATGAGTGTACTAGATAAATGGTAGGTGTAGTTCCAATTGAGGACAAGTTGCAAAAAACAGATTAAGATGGTTTGATCATGTTCAACGAAGGTCGATAGAGACCCACCGATTAGAAAAAGTGATAGAATTTTTCTTAATGGTACTAAGAGTAGAGGTAAATCTAAATTAACATTGACTAAAATAATAAGAAAATATTTACTTAAAAATAAGCGTATAACGCATGACTGAAATGAATGGCGAAGACAAACTCATATAGTAGATTCCAAATGATTAGGACATAAGGTTAGGTTTGGTTTGGTTAATAAGGAAGGTTATTTTATGATACAGGCACAGTGGTACGTAAAAAACTAACAAAAACTAACAGATACTGTCAAGATACATCTGCAATAAAATATACCTTTATGTTTACTATAATTTGACAAATTGATGATTATAAACTTTTTGTAAATTATTTGATAATAATTCCAAAAATGTTAATTTTTGTCTTTCAAAAGCATTGATTGTTTTATTGTGGTTCACTCACATAGTGAGGTTGATTGGTTGAAGGAAGCAAAACTAGCATTTAACTAGTTGATTTGCGCTAGAAGTATTTGTTACCCTGTGATAAGCAATAATTAACACGTTTTATCTCTTTTTGACATGTAGTAGTAGATAATATTTGAGAAACATTCACGTGCTATCAAAGTAACATAGATTTTTCTTTGAGTGTGTTATATTTGAATTCCCAAAAAAGAAAAAAGAAAAAACTAAAAATTATATGTATTGCTATGTGTATCAAGTTTAACATGCAAAAGCACATTCTTCTTGGATACCCCTGTATCAAGAAATGAAGAAATGTTTTATTAATTATTAGATACATCGTACATGTGATACTCATTTGATATGTATTCTCGAGTATTCGATGAATATTAGATCCGGTATAGTATTTGAGACATATACATCAACTCCAAGGGAATATCTTACTTTATAGCTATTTTCATTTTTTTTTGTATTTACGATTCCATCAGTAACCACTCTTTGGTGTAGAGGCTTTCTCATTTGTGTCAAGTGAAGCTACTAATGGACCTGCTCTTTTTCATTTCTGGTAGGGTTGGAAGCAAGTTTAATTATGCTTGCTTTGGTTTAACAAGCTTAGGCAACTTCTTGCGAGCGCGCGCATTAATAGTACTTTTAATAAGTAGGACATTAAATTTTAAGTTATTTTGTTACTTAAAATGAATAGTAAAAAAATGAAAGCATGTTTGACGATGGTTATATTTTCATGAACCGGATGTGCATCTTGCAACCTAAATAGTACGCATACATGTGCATATTTTTATTATTAGGCATGCATTATGCTTAGGGGGGAAGAGCGAACCCGGGTGAAAACAAAAAGCATAGAAAATTACATTTTTGGTGGTCTAGGTATTTAAAAAAAAAAAANTTGATGATTATAAACTTTTTGTAAATTATTTGATAATAATTCCAAAAATGTTAATTTTTGTCTTTCAAAAGCATTGATTGTTTTATTGTGGTTCACTCACATAGTGATGTTGATTGGTTGAAGGAAGCAAAACTAGCATTTAACTAGTTGATTTGCGCTAGAAGTATTTGTTACCCTGTGATAAGCAATAATTAACACGTTTTATCTCTTTTTGACATGTAGTAGTAGATAATATTTGAGAAACATTCACGTGCTATCAAAGTAACATAGATTTTTCTTTGAGTGTGTTATATTTGAATTCCCAAAAAAGAAAAAAGAAAAAACTAAAAATTATATGTATTGCTATGTGTATCAAGTTTAACATGCAAAAGCACATTCTTCTTGGATACCCCTGTATCAAGAAATGAAGAAATGTTTTATTAATTATTAGATACATCGTACATGTGATACTCATTTGATATGTATTCTCGAGTATTCGATGAATATTAGATCCGGTATAGTATTTGAGACATATACATCAACTCCAAGGGAATATCTTACTTTATAGCTATTTTCATTTTTTTTTGTATTTACGATTCCATCAGTAACCACTCTTTGGTGTAGAGGCTTTCTCATTTGTGTCAAGTGAAGCTACTAATGGACCTGCTCTTTTTCATTTCTGGTAGGGTTGGAAGCAAGTTTAATTATGCTTGCTTTGGTTTAACAAGCTTAGGCAACTTCTTGCGAGCGCGCGCATTAATAGTACTTTTAATAAGTAGGACATTAAATTTTAAGTTATTTTGTTACTTAAAATGAATAGTAAAAAAATGAAAGCATGTTTGACGATGGTTATATTTTCATGAACCGGATGTGCATCTTGCAACCTAAATAGTACGCATACATGTGCATATTTTTATTATTAGGCATGCATTATGCTTAGGGGGGAAGAGCGAACCCGGGTGAAAACAAAAAGCAGAGAAAATTACATTTTTGGTGGTCTAGGTATTTAAAAAAAAAAAACCTTTTTTCCCCATCAAACCAGAGGCCGCTTTTGCTTAAAAAATTGAAAGGCAAACTAGCAACTTAGAAAATCATTACTAAATGCTACTGAAGGAATATATCTCCAACTTAATTGAGATTTACATTTGCCGTAACTACCTGATTCCAGAAGTGGTAGTTATATTGCGTGTTGGACATGCTGTTAGTTTTTGGTTTGCGGTGGGTGGTTTTTTTTTCCTTTTCTTTTTGGGTCCCTAGCTGTTTTTAGACATGAGTCAGGTTGGATAGTAGAATATTGCATCCGGTGAGCAGCCCAATGTTAAAAAAAGGAGACACTGAATTTTAGTTTGTTTTCATTTGAAGATTTGTCTGAGCACTGAAATTCTATGCACATGTCAAATAGTTATGGCTGAATTAGGAATGTTTACACATTTTGCTCTTTCTATATTTAGTATAGAAGGCTTTATTACTTCCATATACGATAATGGATACTTTCAAATCAGTTAATCTGTTTGCATTTGATTGTTAGAAGATTGGAAAAAGAATATAATGCACTTGTTTAGAGGGTGATACTTTTGGGAATCTTATCTTTGTCCTTTCTTGAAAATGATGTTGCTATTTCTGGTGATATTGGTTTCTGATCTTTCGGGGCTTGATGCTATAGGTTTCTCAGAATGTTGGGTTCGTCCTGAGCATCAAGCCGGTCTAATTGTTCTTCCATAGCTTTGTCCCTTTTTTTTTTTTCATGATCGTTTTGAAGGGGTGGTATAGTAATTGGCCTAATTTTCTTACATCTTCCATTTTTGGTGATGATTCCTTTTTGTTCTCCTGTTTTTAAAAACCGAGTTTTTATATTTATTTTCTTCATCAAAGCAAGGAACAAAGTTTTCAGTACCATGCCAAAGTAGGAAGATGGTTTCTATTGTTAGATTGAGCTACAGAAAAGAAAAATAAGTACTCTATGGTTTGGGTCTTTAGCAGGTCTATTGGTAGAGATTAATCATTTTTTCCTGTCAAAGAGACCTGTTCGGTTGCGCAATCAATAAGTCTCTGAGATTCAAAAAGTGATTCTGATCTAGTGTTTTTTTTTTTTGTTTTCATTCGCTAACTCCATATTATTTTTTTTTTTAATTTTCGCTCTTTCCCCCTTTTCCCTTTCATTTGGACTTTCATTTTCATGACATGTAGACTTTAAAAAATGATGACTGCATAGAACCATAGCTATGATTCTCACTTACATTATCTTGATGCGACATGTGCCCGTGCAAAACTGTGCATATGGTTACTCATGTTCTGAACCTTTCCAGTCTTTGTGCCTTCTGGTTCTGACATTTTTAGAGCTATTTGTCAAGAAAGGGTGAAGCTTAGTCCTCATGCCTCTTCAATTGTGTCTCACTTATGAACAGTTTTAATGCTTCTATTGCCGTGACTTAATAGTGACTTTCACCATTAAACATGCTGATACTTTCTTGTAGGCAATACATATGCAGGACATTTTGCCCTGGTCAATATCAGACTATCAGCTGCTTATCTGAAAATCTAAAAATTTGAAAAATATTTGCATATTAGATTCTTGGGGGCACATTATCATGTCTGACAATCATTATATCCAATAAAGAAACTGTCTGCATTTATTTATTGAAAGGTTCAGAAATTGGGGGTGCTTTGCAATTCGTAGTTGTGTACTTGTGTTACTATCTGTGGTCCTTATGCAACGTAATATGCGTTTAACATGTAGATAATTATCATGTGCCGTTTACTAAATTCTCAAAAAGAAGCATGAAGTGCCAATGCCTTGTGTCTGCATTTCAGACCTTGTTCAAGTTTCCATATTTGCCCATGCTCCACAATTGCAAAGTATTTGTTATGCTAGTTATGAAACTTTATGTCTTATCATTTGTGCTGGATGACTTAATGCAGAGGTTGCATTTATCTGGTACTCCATGATTGCCTATATGTTCTTTGTTGAGTGTATCCTTCATTTTGTGCACATTGCAGGTGACATGGGATCTAAACGGCATTTTGATGAGGAGGAGTTTCTGGAGTTTTCCTTTAAGCATCCAAAACAACATGACTGCGGTGATAAGGTGGCTTCATTTGCAGGTAAATTTTTCTGCTGTGAGGATTCCAAGAAAGTCGATTTTCTAGGTAAGAAATTCTCTATTTCTTTTGTTTCATCGTTCTTAATGGTTTAACTATCGTTCATTTCTTAGAGTGTTTTTTAGGATAAAAAGATGGTGGTTGGCATACAGTCTTGCCATAGTTTTAAAAATTTTACTATGGTCAATGTATCTAATTATTGGTAAATTTATTGACGAATGAATCAAATTGGTTTCATTCTGGTTAACACTTGCGTAATAAAACACAATAGTGGGAAGTTTTTTTTATTCTAAATTTTTAACATGTACACCATTCTCAATGAGCAGAATACGAGTGAGTACCTGCTCTACATTGGATTACCATGTGATGAGGATCTGGTTGAATTAGGATAAATGATATCAATTTATGTTGGGATTTTTATTTATTCAACTATTATTTTGTCTTTTTTATGATTTAGTAGTAGAGTTCGACTAGGAATATTCGATTTATTGAAAATTGAGAGTTGTTGCTCCTCTTATCGTAATTGTCTTCTCTTCTCATCCTATTCTTCTGATTTCTCATCCCTGTCTTGTTCTTTCCTCATCTGATAATTCTCCTTCTCAATCTACATCACTATATCTACGCGTGGTTCCTTCATTGGTACTTTCCACATAGGATTAGCATTACACCCTCATAATCAAACTAATGAATTGAACAAAGAGAAAAAGAGAAGAAAAAAGAATAACCTTATTGGGTAAATTTTAACTATCTTAAAATATGTCATATCTTGGTCTATGAAACCCCGCCAAGTTGGATTTGGTCTAGTTGCCAATCTGATTGACATTAAAGTGATTAATCTAGTAATTTAAACAAACATTATAAGGTTTTTTTTTTGGGTAAGTAACATTATAAGGGGTTGCATTGCATTAGTAGTATATATTCTGGAAGTTTATTAAAAAGTTTCACATGATCTTTTTTCTCTGTAAAAAATCGGACACAGAGTGGAATCAAATAAATTTTTTGCTTTTATACTTTGTTGCACGGAAATTAATTGGAAGATGGCTAATCTATTGTAATATCCCTTATTTTTTCAGTAATTAACTTGTGTCTCTACTGTTTGGGCTAGAGAAATTTGAAGCCTTGTTGGATAATTTTTAGACAAGTTGTTCCATACTGGCATTCTGCATGTGTGTGTGGCACAATGGCATGCTGTTGAACTAACCGAATCCTTTTTCTGATTGATTTTATTAATGACGATCTTTATCTTATTCTGAGCTAGGTGCAGCCGAGGGCATTTTTTGTAAATCTCAATTTAGCAAGGAGCCTAAAAATGACAGTGTGAATGCTTTCTCAAATTCGATTGATAAGGAGGTTGACAGCAGTGCACCTTTATCATGGGGCAGCAGCCCAACTAATGAGGAAGACACTGGATCCGGGGCAGCATTTTGCCCATCTTTTTCTCGACAATATTTTGAATTCGAGTTTCCAACCTTCATTCAGTTTGAGGACTCATTTTCATCTATGTTGCATTCCTCTCCAAGAAAAGAGGTTCCTGTTGGACCAGATCATCAGGCTGATGTGCCAGCATGGGAGCCAGAAGTAATCAAGAAACATCCTATGGGTTGTGGTGATATTGTTGACATTGACAAGGAGGAGCAGCTGATGGGAGCTTATGTTATTACAATGCCGGGCTTAAATTCATCTGCTCATGATGGTGTAAAGGCTGGAAATGGCAGACATCATTGTAGCTGCCCTGATGAAGGATCTATTAGGTGTGTGCAACAGCATTGCAAGGAATTCCGGGAGAAATTAAGAGAAACAATTGGGCTTGAGAAGTTTGTCAATTTGGGATTCTCCGACATGGGAGAGGAGGTAGCACACTCGTGGACTAAAGAAGAAGAAGATGTGTTTCATGAGGTGGTTTATCTGAATCCTGCGTCCCTTGGTAAGAATTTTTGGTGGTACTTTCCACTTAAGTTCCCATCTAGAACAAAAAAGGAGCTTGTTAGCTATTATTTCAATGTTTTTTTGCTTCGAAGGCGGGCTGTTCAGAACAGATCAAACTTGCTGGAGATTGACAGTGATGATGATGAATGGCAGGGAAGTGATGTTGGAGGCCTCTTTGCAGTTGAGCCTTTTTTTGATCAAGATGGCTGGGTTGAGCATTCGGATCAATCCCCAGATGAAACTGGCAATGATGACGATGACAATGGTGATGGGAATGCCGAGGAGATAGCTGGTGTTGCAGATACTACTGAGGGGGATATTGAAGTACAAATTGAGAAGTCGACTGCCCACAAAAGTTTTAGTTCAAGTGACGGGTTTGGTTCTGTATATGCATCAGACCCTTGTGATGCTAAGGTTTGGGATGCCAAATCCTCAACGGGTCCAATGAAAGGTGTTGATCTCCTACCTGCATGCAACATGATTGAAGAGATTTGTGGACCATGCACTTGGGACAGCAAGTCGAGCAAGGACAAACATTAGCTCGTAGCTATCTAAGATGGGCACTTCACAGTATACCTTGCGTTTTCATTGCAGTGTTGGTGGGATCCAATAATGCTTGTCAAATTGTTCGGTGACTGCAGCACAGGAACTTCCAGTTTTGCGTATGTACATACATTCTGCGGAATTTATCTATATTTGTAGGAAGTGGGTGGGCAAGAAGGGCCTGGTCATTTTTGGGGTTTCACCAAACCATAAGTTGCAGAAGTCACCAGGAAAGCAAATAGGGCTCGATCAATGAATTGTTGAATATAGCCTTTGGTGAGGATGACACTACTGAAGTGAAGTGAAATCTTTCTTGCCATGTGACATTTAACTTTGCTAAATGTCATACATGGCCAATTATTATTCTCTTTCAAAGCATTTGAGCAGATTAAGGATCTTGAATTTTGTTGGGTTTGCCTTGCAAAATACAAAGAAGCCTTCTCCGATTCTCCGATAAATGAAGCAATATAGCAAAGCTGTTGCAGAGCTGTGGAACCTATCCAAGGCCCTCCCTTTGCTATGTGTAGAATAGTCAAGTATGCTAAAGGTGATAGTTGAGTTCAACGGAAAGAAACTAAAGCAAGAAACAAGCCGATCTACCAATCAAGTCGATAAATTTATGTATTTCGCCCTTATGCTGATAGTTGAGTGCACAAGAAAGAAACTTTTCGTGAAGTTTCTATGATTGAGATGCATTATTGTTAGTGATTATTTTTTTTGCAAATATACAAAGATGTTAAAAATAAAACAATATAAGGAGAAAGAGAAAAACATATAGTACGAACCAACTAATTTACGTTAGTCACAGGTATCATTCAACGTTAGGTCACGGTAAAACCTAACCGAAAATAATGGACAGAGGAGGAACACAGATAGTACAATACAAATAGCTGGTGGTGGGTTTGACTCAACCAGCAAAACAAGTTGCTGGGTGGTAATCAACAGTTTATGTTGGATTAGTAATCCCACTGAAATAAGTTAATGATATTTATTAATCTATTAATTCATATCTATTTTGTAAGCAAAATGTAATAATTTGTAAGTATAGCAACCAACGGGCTTTTGGGCCAATAATATATTTTGCTGAAGATTTTTGTCTTTTAAGGTCAAGAGTTTAAGTCTTTTCGTCGACAAAAGTGTGGTTAAACAAAAAAGGTGTGGTCAAATTCTTTGATATGAGTCGTGATTTAAATAATGTATGAGTAGAAGGACATGTTCATATACCATGAGATTTGTTCTCAGTTTTACTTGGACTTTCAAGTCTAAACAACATAAGTGTGTCTCTACTAGCTAAGAATAGACAAAAAATTTCCTCCGTTCCGGAAAAAATAGAGGTAAAATAGTTTTCCATTCAAAAAAGAAAAATAGTTCGGATCTAGACTTTGTTGGTAAGTATTTCAAGGCCATAAATTCGAGTCTCATAAAAGAAATTATACAAGTAAATATATGCATCACGAGTCTACTACATGCATGGCTTAAAGGATTACTGGTTATCAAAATTAATTTGAATTTACCCCACTTTTCTCCATAATTTCTGATTTTTTTTTTCATTTTCTCATAATTTGTTTGGTCACATTTTAAAACGGTAGAATTGATAATCGAATGAATGCATTTTTTTAAACAAGTCTTAAAATATATTTATTTTAAACGAGTCGAATTTAAATCAATCCCAAAATAAATTGAACTTGAATCAAATCCGAGTCATTTGACCCGATTATCAATAACAGTAATAAATCAGGAAGGTCAGAGAGCAATAACGGCTGAAGATTCGGACTTTTCATGAGCAAAAAGACAAATGAAGGGATAAATGTGTTTAGTTTCACTGTGCCCTGCCATATCATACCATAGCAACAAACAAATTTCTCTTTTCTCTCCTCTCTCACATCTTGGGATCCTCTGAAAATTCCAAAGGATCTTGACCGTTTGATTGAAACACCAAAGTATTCTTCCACACCTACACGTGTCTTCCATCTTTTTATTGCCTCTCTCTCTCTCTCTCTCTCTCTCTCTCACATATTTGCTTTCATGCATGGAATTCTCCTCCCACTATAACACTATATGTGAGCGTATAGAGAGGGAAAAGAGTCTTTGGTTTCTGTTTTAATTGTTTGTGTTTATGGCCATCATTAGAGACCCATGTGTTCAAACTTTGATTTTTCTTATTAAGTTCTTCAAATTTTGAATTTTCAATTAAGAATTTCATAGATATGAAATTCAAAGGGTCCCCTTTTGTTGTGTGTCTGATCTTGTACTTTCCTGTCATATCTGACCATGTTGATCTTCCTCTGATTAGTTGTCCAGAACCAAATACACTTTCTGATCTGTGCCCATCCCATATGCCAGATTTGAGCTCTGAACATTTGGTTCTGTGATCTGGCTCTGTTGCTTCACTATTTGGGTTTCTTTTATGGTAAGAGATCAGGAAATGTGGCATTGTTGCTTTATTTGAGCTCTCAAATTGTTCACTGATCTTGATTTCTGAATTGGGTGTTTTGGGTTTTGTGTGATCAGTTAACACAATCAATGGGAGAAGATGAGGAATTGAGGTTTGTATGCAAGTTATGTGACAAGAGGTACCCATCTGGGAAGTCATTGGGGGGTCACATGAGGTCTCATGTGATTGCAGATTCAGCTGAATCACAGGGAAAAGTTGAAGCCAAGATGGAAAAGGTGTCATCTCTCAACGGTGAAAGGAACATCAATTCTGAGAGAGATTCTATATTTGAACTTAATGGGAATGGCTATGGTCTGAGAGAAAATCCCAGAAAGACATGGAGGGTTGTGAATTCAGCCAATCCCTTACCCCAAGACAAGGTTTGTAAACAATGTGGTAAAGGGTTTCAATCAGTGAAAGCATTATGTGGTCATATGGCTTGTCACTCTGAGAAAGAGAGGGTTTTGAAGGATGTTCATTCATGGACTATGGAGAATCAGAAGCAGGTGATGGATAGTCATTCAGATACTGAGCCTGAGGATCCGAAGCAGCGAAAAAGATCGAAAAATGTGAGACTTAAATCATCCTTTTCTTTAGCTAATGGGTCTTCACCTGTTTGTGAGATTGACGAGCAAGAACAAGAAGAGATAGCTATGTGTTTGATGATGTTGTCAAAGGATTCTGGGAATTGGGGTGGTGTGAATTCTGTTGTCGAGTCTTCTGATAACAATTCAGTCGTTTTGGAGACCAAATCATCTTCCATTGATATGAGAATTGGTAGAAATGAAGGTTTGAACTCTATATACAAGGGTGATAAGACTCTAGAAATGAAGAATCTAGGAGGCAAGAAGTTAAAATCTAGTGTTTTGGAGTCTGAGATTGCTCAACCCGAGAATTCGGATTCTGGTTACTTCATAAATGGACCTAAGAAGGTTGAATCAGACATTTCTGTTGATGGGGTACTCAGAAATGGTGAATACCAGAAGCTTAAAGTGAGTGGTAGTGACGAATTCGAGGAGTCTGGTGCTAAATTAGAGAAGGGTGTAAGCAGAATCAAATGCTTTGACACAAAAGGAAAGAAGATTTTGATTAAGGAAAAGGGGTGTGATGGTGGTGGCATTGCTTCAAAGTCCATGAATTATAATTCAAGAAAGAGAACAATGCTTAGTTCCGATAGTCCTGAATCTTCAGATGCCAAAATATGCAAGAGTGCTCAAAAGAGAACCAAATATGAGTGTTTGACCTGTAAGAAGATCTTCAACTCTTTTCAGGGTCTTGGGGGACACAGGCCATGCCACAAAAGAAACAATGTCTGCTTTAAATCTGAATATTTGAGCCCTGAGAACAGCTTAGAAGGCGATAGTACTCCCGAATTTTTTCCCAATGGCAAGCTTGGAGAGTCTGTCAGTTACAACAAACAAGTTGCTCAAGATTTATCTTGCAATGCAGAGAAAAGATCCAGGTCTAAGAGAAGCAAAGGACATGAGTGCCCGATTTGCCTCAGGATTTTTAAGTCTGGCCAAGCATTAGGTGGTCACAAGAGGTCTCATTTTATTGGAGGGCCTGAAGACAGTACCAATAGAACACTTGTAATCAAGCAAGAGCTTCCTAATTTCCTCGATCTCAATCTTCCTGCACCTACAGAGGATGAGGCAGATGGGCATGCCCAGTTCATCCCATGGTAGGTAAGAGGCAGTCAGAAAGCTTGAATTACTGGTTTATCTTATTTATTTTGTCAATGGTTCAATGGTGATGCTAGAGTGTACAGACAAGTCAATGAATTCCTATTCTGAAAGCTCTTTTATCTATTTTTGCTGATATTCAAGGATGATATAGAGGTGACAGTAGCATTGCAGCTTATGGGACTCTAAGAAGCATCTGAATGTTTTTCATTTCATCTTATTTTTGCATAATGCCTTCCTTTTTTCTCAAAACTTAATTTCATTGATCACTTTCGTTTCGAAGACTGATATGGTAACTGAATTTTATGTTATTTCTTACGCCATGTTCTTCATTACAGATTACTTACATAGATGCCCTAGAAATTTCACCAACTTATCGTCTTCGTCACTCAGAGAGCTTCATAGCAACCTTGACTTAAACTTGTGATAACACTAATCTAGTAAATGTTGTCTTAAATTTTGTCAAGTTCACTGACTTGAAGCTGAGGCTGTTATTGTCCTTTTTTGTAGAGGAAGTCGGTGCCACCGGCCTTAGTGGGAGAAATTAGTAAGTCATTTTGTTGGAAGATTGGTCTGTTGAAATTCTATGCCCAAACACTATCATTTGACTCGCACATTTATACCTTTCTTCTAATCCATTCGCTCCACTAGCCTTGATTGGCGGATGGAAGTACTAAGGTGCATCTGGTGGTATTGCATATAAGATCACGACTGCATTTAGGAGTGATCTTTCCCTCGTCTTAAAGCCGGTGGTAATCTCACTTTCGAAAGAGAGTCTCGACGTGGCTGGTTTCCCACTGCACACTCAAGAAAACCTAAAAAACTCCCTAAAAAGGAGCTTTAGAGATCAATCTCCAGGAGCCTTGTGTCGGCATTACACC